AGTTCACTGCCCCTGCCTGAGCTTCCCTCCCATCCTGCATCCTTGGGTTCATATTGGGCAGGGACTCGAAGAGTTCACATCTAATGTTATTATTGTAATTGGTGTTCTTAGGGAATTGCTAGGGACCCCACATTGGAGATGTTACATCCTTTTAAGTTCTCATTCTGGGAGGCATGGCCATGCTGGACAAATGTGTTGTCCGGGAGCTAGTGATGTCCCAGAGCCATCAGAGAATGGGCACTGCCTGTGGAACTTGCATTGCTGTGTTCACAGATGTGTATGATGGTCTGTGTAGTTAATGGGGACAGCTGGTCCCTACAAGTAGTTGAGGCTATGGAGGAAGTAACTGAATGAGTGGCACCTCTGCACAGTTTCCCTCTAGTACAGGTCTTCCCATTGCTGTCTACCCTGTGCCAGAGAGGCTTGGCATGTCTTATCCACCCCCTTCCTTCTACTTCGAAACTGCAGTGGCCATTCATTTGACAGTGTCAAATGATCCAGAGATCACAAACGGGTTACCTCCTTTGTCTCTTCATTTCCTTTCATTTTCTTTGCTGCCATCTCAAGAAAAGCCACCCAGACTTCCTGCTGCCCTCAGATATATCAAGAGATCATGTGTTCCTTCTCCCAGCTGAGCCAAACAGAAGAAGTAGCTTGTCTGGTATAATTTTACCAACCAGAAATAAGGCCAGAAAATGTGTCTTCTTGACCCTATTGTCCCCACCCCATCTACCAGACCCATGATGCAAAATTCCCTAGGGTACTCTTGGCCACTCCTGCTGCCTCTTTGCCAGGATAAGGACTCATTCCTGGAAGCTTATGAGCACATTGTCTTCTATAAACATTCTCCAAGTTCTATTTCCTGACTCAGATTTGAGGTTTCCTGCCCTTACACATTCAACATATTTCTGAAAGTTTCAGGGTCTATTCCAGATGATTTGAACGTTTGAATATCCAACAGGATATCAACACAAAAGTTTTCCTGCTGTATAAAATGAAATAACCCTCACTCTCTCAAATGCTCTGCTTGGGGGCTGGGGCCAAAGCTCAACTGGTAAAAGGTGAAACAGAGGACTTGAGGTCAGTCTCTAGAACTTGCATTTGAAAACTGGACATGGCATATGCTGGAAATCTCAGTGCTGGGGAGGCAGAGACAGGCAGATCCTTAGGACTCATTGGCTAGTCCGCATACCCTAGTCAGGCCCAGCAATGTGTTTCAGAATGACACCTGAAATTGAGTTCTGGCCCCTACACACATGCACACATCCATTGGCTCAGTCCAGCCTGTACACACACACACACACACACACACACACACACACACACACACACACACACACACACAAAGTTCCACTTGGTTGGAGACACCTAGAACATTAATCCACTATAGCTGTAAAAGTGGTTAATGACAGAAATATCGAGAGGAAAACTTCTGCGGCTTTCATAACACTTCATTGGGGCTGTTAAAGAAATAAGAATCATGGTGCTCATTACTTTTCTCATTGTTGTGACAAAATGCCTGAGAAAAACAAGTTAAGAAAGGGTTCCTCTTGGCTCGGAACTTGAGAGGCTACAGGCCATCATGGTGGGGAAAACAGCAATGGAGTATGGAGTGGTTGGTCACTTTTGACCTGCCGTCAGGAAGCAGAGAGATGAATGCAGGTACCCAGCTCTCCTTATCCTTCTTATTTAGTCCAGGAACCTGCCTCATGGTGCCACTCACATTCAGGGTAGGTATGATTCTCCTCAGTTCATTCTCCCTGGCATGCCCAGAGGTGTGTCTCCGAGGTAATCCCAAATACAGTCACGCTGGTCATGAAGATCAGCCCTCACAGTCCTCACGGATATTAACATGTTGACTGTGTTCAAGCCAGCCTGACTGCTGAAGAGCTGGATGTGGAAACTCAAGGCCACGTGGGGCAGGGGCGGGATCAGGAATCCACAGACTTCACTTACAATTTGTGGCAAGACACTTTCAGTGCTGTGACCCTGTAGGAGTCTCTTAACATCCTTGAGCTTTAAATTTTTCCTTTGGTGTAAAAACCAAATTCCTGTCACAAAGGGCATGGAAACTGGAGATATGAGTCAGCAGTTAAGAGCACTTCCTGCTCTTACAGAGGACCTAAGTTCCATTTCCAGCACCCACATGTCAATCATGACTCATGACCACCTATAACTCCAGATCCAGAGAACAAGACACTCTCTTTTTGCCTCTGAGGGCACCCACATGCATGCTATGCACTCACATAGGCATACATGTATACATACAATGGGCACTAAATGACATATATGTGGAAATGGAAACTCTAAAACCTTGAACAAATGTAAGGTTTTGAGAAAGTAAATAAGTTTTTTATCTAATAGAATACAAAAATCAACATTTTGATTCTAACCAGATGGTTCCTGTATCAAGTATTTACTTGTTATTTTTTACATTACCCACGGGGACAAAAGAAAGGCACACACAGTTGTTTTTCTTGCCAGGTTCAACAAATACTTTTCTGGCATATTAACTGTCTCGAATCAAGGGAGCAATTGTGTTAGGCCAGCCAGCATGAGAACTGGCCATAAAGATGAGACACTTCACATGCCCTTGGCTGTATATTCCTTGAAGTCCACCATGCCTGCCTTATGTAGGCCAGGTCACAAGTGGACATCTTAAGGTTCCACCTGTGTGTTGTCTTCTTGTTCATAGCTGTAATTGAATACCAAAGGCTGATAATTATAAACTGAAGTATATTTGGCTTGGGATTATGTAAGCTGGGAAGTCCATAGTTAAATGGTGAGGGCCTTCTTGCCACATCCTAATGCAGAGGAAGCCTCATATGGTTAACTTTCCATAAAATAAGGAGCAGAGTCCTAGAGCCAGGACTGGTAACTATTATCCCCACAGGCCAAATCTGGCTACTGCTTTAAAGTTTTGTTTGGTTTGGCTTGGGTTGTTTGTTGTCCCCCCTCCCTCCCCCAGACAGGGTTTCTTTGTGTGTATCCCTGGCTATACTGGAATTCTCTTTGTAGACTAGGTTAGCCTGGAACTCACAGAGATCCACCTGCATCTGTCTTGCCAGTGTTGGAATTAATGATGTGCACAACCACACCCTGATTGTAAATAAAGTTTTATTGTCCATTAATTTACATGTCAAGCACAGAGTTGGGTAATTGTGACAGGCAGCATTGGTACACAAAGCCAGAGAGTTGGCCAATCTAAGAACTGTTTGATCACAATCCCCCAGCCATCCTAACAGGCCCCCTTGTGCTCTTGTGCTCTCTGGTGCTCTCCTGCCATGTGGAGAGAAGATCTTCTGTTGTCTTGCTCTGTCCCTCTGATTATGGTTCCCCAAGGTCAGGCCTAAAGATGGTTATGTGTGCACCCAGTTCAGTCCAGTATTCTCAGTAAACGTGGAAGAGAGCCACCCTGTAAGAGCCCTGAGTCTGCTCAGCAGACAGAACAACTCCTTCAGTCATGGGGCCCTAGAGGCTCTGGTCTTAGGGCACCTTATGGAACACCTGGAGGGTCTGGGAGCTCACCAGAAATGTTGAATCCAATATGAGGGGAAGGGTTGTGAGAAGTCTTCCTGCAGGAGGTCTTAGAGGATTGGCCAGGCAATGGAAAAGGGGAAGTTAAGGGGGTGTTACATGAAGAACAACTCATGGAAAGGGCTGGAAGGAAGAAACACTAAGACTTGGATGAATGTAGTTCTCAGCAGTAGTGGCATGGAGAACGGATGCTTCTCACCCAGATCAGAGATGACCACTCTGCTGTCTCCCATGGAGGCTGGACTCCAGAGAATGTGGGGCCAGCTGCAACTCTGCACATTTAGGAGTTGTTTATTCTATGTCAAGTTTTGTTTTGTTTTATTGAGACAGATTCTTCTTGAACCTCTAATCTTCCTGCACTAGTGCCCCGAGAGTTGAGACTGCAGGCTTACACTATGGCCCAACTTCCCAAGCTTCTTGTGTAGCATTATTTCCTGCTTTGGAATCTGAACTGTACAGGCTAAAGGCCAGGTTTTGTGGCAGACATAGGCCTTCTCTAGAGGGAAACATCAAGAAGCTGGCTGGTGCTTCCTAGTCTTTGCTCTCTAAATTCTTTGTCTGGGACTCAATGTAGATCACATGAAGCTTGAGAGGGTAAAGGTAGAATTTAAGATGAACTTACAATGCCTTCGAACAAATCCCAGGACCATCCATCAGTGGAAACAAAGCTGAACAAATGTGGCTTTTCTATACAATGCAGCTACTCAGCTGTTGAAGGGAAGGATTGCTGGGTAACCTCATCGAGGTTGGGCCTGGATGATCTGCTAAGGAAGCCAGACAGACATAGGCCACATGACCTATGATTCCATTTGTATGAAATATACAAAATGAGAAAGTCCACAACAGGATGCAGACTGGGAACTTCCAGGGTGGGGAGGAAAGAGACATGGCAGCATCTACTCACTAGACATGGGCTTTCCTTTTAGGGTGATGAAAATGATTCAGATATAAACAACCACCATAGCTAGGCATCACTGAATTGTTCATTTAAAGTATTTTATTTTATGTTATATGTTTTGCCTTAATTTTTAAAAATTTAAGACAGGATTTTACTATATAGACCAGGCTGTTCTTGAAGTCACAGAGGTCTACCTGTTTGTATCTCCCAAGTGCTGGAATTTAAGGCATGTACCACCATGCATGACATGAGGTAGTTTTTTTTTTTTTTTAATCATAAGTTATTACGATTTTTTCTTGGGAGGGGACAAGGTCAAGCTAATCATGATCTCACAGAGCTGAAGATGACCTTGAACTTCTGAACCCAGGGCTTGTTGCATGCTATGTAAGCACTCTACCAACTAAGCTACATCCCTGGCTCTCATAATGATGTCTTAAATTTGAAAATAAAAATGAATAAAAAGCCAGTAATTACTGGCCATCTTTGGCGTCTAAATCTGACAAGTGGCATTTGGGAATACCATGTATGGCTCAACTGACACTCAGCTTTTGCTTATCATTGACAGAGGTGGGGAAAACGCGATGTCAACTGGAGCGAGAGCACATTCTTGGAGCATCAGGCGTGGCAGATGCCCAACAGCCCAGGCTGCTGGGGATGTATGTACCCCAGTGTGATGAGTATGGACACTATGAACCCACCCAGTGCCACCATGGCACTGGCTACTGCTGGTGTGTGGACAGAGATGGTCGGGAACTGGAGGGTACCCGTACCCAGCCTGGGATGAGGCCCCCATGTAAGTGGACAGCTGTCATGTAGACTTGAAGACTAGAATGATCTGTGTTAGCCAATGCTCTGCATGGTCTCCCTGCTCACATGCTACCAGCCCTATATCTGTCACCTTTTGCCATATTCCCTGCCTCTCTCCAGTGCACTCCTTCCATCTATGGGTATACATGTGCTCTGTGAACATTCCCAGTAGGGCCTGTGGCAGACACAGGGTGGCCAGGCTTTGGACCACTGGGCTTTGTAACAGAACAGGGATGCTGTGGTCCCTTGGTTCTCCCCAAAGCTTTGCTTACTCTAGTGGAAATATCTGTTTTTATCTTTTCTTTTTTTTTTTTAATTTTTTTTAAAGATTTTTTTTTTTTTTTACATATATGGTCATCTGCCTGCATGCCAGCAGAGGGCACTAGATCTCATTCAGGGTGGTTGTGAGCCGCCTTGTGGTTGCTGGGAATTGAACTCAGGACCTCTGGAAGAACAGTCAGTGCTCTTAACCGCTGAGCCATCTCTTCAAACATGTTTTTATCTTTTCAATACATGTTCCTGTACAGCTAGGCCCTTGAACCTTAGTATGCCCCAGTCATTTTTTATTTTTCTGAGGCAGGATCTCATGTTGGGGGCTAGTCTTTAATAGACAACATAGCTGTGTTGTCCATAGATAAACTTGAATTTCTGATCCTCTTGCGTTTGTCTAAGCACTGGGATTATAAGTGTGATCCACATCTAGCCAACTCTCCATTTAGATAGCTAAAGAGAAGCCCAGACAGGTACATGGCCTGTGTGCACAATAGAAAGACAGATATTACCTGGGCAGCCTATGACACAGTCTGCCGACACTCCCCTTCCCCTGCCCACAGGAGTTCCTTTGCTGAGGGAGTCAGGGAGGCAGCCAGGGTGAAGGTCAGGAGGTCACAACAAGTCAAGGAGACCAGGCCATGTCAGAGGATGGATGAGACCCCTGGCTAGCCTGTTGGTCCTAAGAACCTAGGGGGACATGTTTCTGCTTGTGAGGTTCATTCCATAGCAATGGACAGGGTGTGACAGCCCTCATTGATAGCTTTCTCTATCCAGTGTTAAAGATGTCACTCCCTGCAGGCAAATGTTGCTCCCAGCACTGCTTTGGCTCTCACACCAGTCCAGCATCCAGCCATAAATAACCAAGTCATTGTATAAGAGGCAGCAAGGCTAGCTCTTTACCCCACTGGACCTGTAATGCTAAACTCATGTTCTGCCCTGTCTTCTTCACAAATGCCCTTTGACTGGCTGAAGAAGGCTTTCTACCTCTGGAGTTTTCAGACAGAAAATGGACATTGTGTGACTGGCTGTGCTGTTTGCATACAATTAATGTGACAAGGCCTGGGATATGGGTGGTATGTAGATGTGTGCGTGAGCACACACACACTTATTCATGTGAACATATTCATGTTTATGTACACGTGCTCTCACCTGTATTCATCTGCATATTTGAGCATTAGAATGCACCTGTACATTTCTGGCATGCACACTTATTCATTGACCATCTCTTGCCCTCTAGGTCTGAGTACAGTGGCTCCCCCTATTCATCAGAGACCTGTAGTACCTACAGCCGTCATCCCCCTACCCCCAGGGACTCACTTACTCTTTGCCCAGACTGGGAAGATTGAACGCCTCCCTCTGGAGGGAAACACCATGAAGAAGACAGAAGCCAAGGCCTTTCTCCATATCCCTGTGAGTATCGGCTGACTAGCCTTGATGACAGTCCCAGCTCTAGGGACGTGGCTACATAGTTAATGGCTATATGTAATATAGTAGTGTAATGTAATAACAAGATAACTAATGTAATACAATATAATATAATGTAATGCTAATATGGTTAATAGCTATGTAATATAAAATATAATATAGCATAATACCAATATAGTATAATACAAGACACTATAATATCAAGATATTTAATAGTTAAATATACTATAGTATATATTGCATGATGTCAATGTAGTATAACACACTACACTATAATACCAAGATAGCTAATAGCTATGTGTAATATGATACCAATAGTAGTTACATTTTGTAATTTAACATAATACAATATCCATTTGCAAATATAATGCAGATTTAAACAGACAATCTACATTTGGGAGAATTCTAAATTCATAACGTATTCCTAGTTATAAGCTATTGTAACAAACTGAAAAGTATATTTCTGTGCTCTTGAATCATCCATTCTGCAAGCTTGGCCTAGCAATTGGTTTATTCAGAATGCTATGAAGATGTTCTCTCATGATTTCAGAAAGGAGTACTATAAACTCAGCCTTTAATTTTTATCTATTGTATGAGGTCAACCTGAGGGGTGTGTGTGTGTGTGTGTGTTTATTAAGATGATAGAGCACTGTTTGTTAACAAAACCATATTTCTTGCTTGGCACGTGGGTACCCTTGTCAGAAACACCACTTAAAGCATCATTGAGAGGCTGTTTCTGGGTGCTCTGTTCTTCTGTGTCAATCTCTCCAGCAAACCTATGACAACCAGTGCTACTCTGTCTTGATTATAGTGGACCTCAAAGTCAGAGATATTTAAGGTCCTGCCTTAGACTCTTTGGACTATTTTAGACTTTTATTTGTTTATTTTTGAAACAGCCTTATTTTCAAAAATAGAAATGTGAACATATTATTGTAGTCAAAGCTAGCTTTGAACTCCTTGGCCTCTACCTTCTAGGTTCTGAGATTACAGATATGAGCAAGCACATTGCATGCTCCCATAATGTTTTAAAATAAATTTCTTGTTCTATAGAAAATAAAACAAAAACAAAACAGCCTACCATGCATGGTGGCTCATGCCTTTTAATCCCTGTACTCAGGAGACAGATCTCTGTGAGTTCCAAGTTAGCCTGGTCTACATAGGGAGTTCCAGGCCAGTCAGTATTACATCAACAATCATACAAAAGCAAAACCAAACAACTTGATAACTTTAACAAAGGAGACACTGAATCACTGAAACTGTCACTAAGGAGAACTGATGTCTTAGCAATATAAAAATTGCAGAATCCATTAACCTGATTTACCTCTTTCTAGTTCCCCAGGTCATCTTTAATTTTACTCTTTAATGCTTTGTAGTACTCATTGTAGGATCTTGTATATTTGAAATGTTCATTCTTGGGGCTGGAAAGATAGCTCAGAGGTTAAGGGCACTTGCTGCTTTTGTAGAGGACCCATTTGGTTCCCAACACCCAAGTTAGTCAGTTCACAAACACCTGCAACTCCAGCTCTAGGGGATCCAATGCTCTCTTCAGGCATCCAAGGACACTTGAACATTTGTAGTACAAATACAGACACATAAGCACACACACACACACACACACACACACACACGTATAAACACATATGTATTCAGAAAAGATTTTTTTCTAAACTATGTAGTTTCTACAATTCAACAATAAAAAACATGAATGAACAAAACATATTTGCTTTCTATAAATACTATCTGAGGGTGTATAGGTACATAGGAAGATCCAAGGCAAGACTAGCTGGTGGGTAAACTGTTCTCAATCACTGGGTATCACTTCCAGGCAAAAGTCATCATTGGACTGGCCTTTGACTGTGTGGACAAGGTGGTTTACTGGACAGACATCAGTGAGCCTTCCATTGGGAGAGCCAGCCTACATGGTGGAGAGCCAACCACCATCATTCGACAAGGTGAGCAAGCAAATATTGTCCCTTGAGGTGCTGCTTCTAGCACACACTGCTCTTGGCAGGAGGTGAAGGATAGAGAGTAAACTGTTTGCCTTGCAAGGGGCCAGGTCCTCTGTCTTCACACTCTACCCTTTTCAACTCCCCTGAAATTTTCCACAGGTCACTTGAGTCATTAAATCTGGGACATTCTGGCTGAGGTTAGCTGCTTGTCTCAGGATAATAAAACTGAAACAAGGCAGGTGCCCATACCTTTCTCTGGAAGCTGACATGGTCCATCTCTTTGCATTCCATTTCTTCTGTAGCTTCTGAACCTACAATTGCTTCTCACAGAGTCTGCTCTACCGTGTGCTCCATGAGGGCTTTATCAAAGGCAGTGGATGGACAGAATAGTCAAAAAACCTACAAGCATACTGATAGACACTTACCCAGAAGTTGAAAACTATTTATTTGATTTTTGAGGCAGCATCTCATGTAACCTAGGCTACCCTCAAACTCATTAAGTACCTAAGGATGACCTTGAACTCATGATCTTCCTGCCGCTACCTCCCAAGTGTAGGTTTATATGCCTGCACCACCACTGGCTTGTTTATTTATTTATTTACATCTTCAGCCTAACATTCTCCCAACTGAACTATTTTGGCTACTATTTATTTATCTTAACCCATTGTTCGGCAGCCTTGGCTAGCCTGGAAGTCCTGCTTCTCTTGCCTCTTCTCCCTGGTACTGGATCATAACTGTATATCAGCACAGCCATCTCTGAAAGTAGAGTCTATTCCCAACGCTGTATTGGAGTTAAAGAGCTATTATTTCAATGGAAGGCATCTTGAGATCTTCCCTAACTCAACACATCTTTCCTGTCCCTAGTTCTAACCTGGAGTCCAACTAGCTGGGATCACTTCTCACAGAGAATTCTGTTTTGGTTAACTTTTGATAAAGTGTGTGTTCTTGTTGACACAGACCAACTTTAACATTTAACCTCATGTAGATGCCTTCTTGAACAAGGAAATATACATCATTTTAATACCTTCATTCAATAAATAGAGTAGCAAGGCACACTGCTATAGGCGTGTCTTCCTAGCTATTTGAGAGGGTCACAAGTTCAAGGTCTTCCTGGGTTACAGAATGAGCTCCAGGTCAGCCTGGGTAAACTTGTAAGACCCTGTCTCAAAATGAAAAGTTACCTGAGGGCTGGGGAATATAGCTCAGTGCTAGAGCATTTGCCTAGCGCGTGTGAGGTCCTGGGTTCATTCCTCAGTTCGTTTAAATCTATTTCACATGAGTATGTTTAATGAGTCTACCCAAAACTCCAGGATTTGTAAAAGGTCCCTGTACCGAAATGGTCAAGGAACTTGAACTGATTCAATCATGACTCATTGGCTTGGGGAATATTTTTTCTCAGAAGGCATTGTCATGCTGCCATTAGCTGTATGAAGTCTCTACTTCCTCTGCAAAATACTCAGGTGGAAGATACACCTTCCAAAAATAAGCCTTGTTTTGTATTTCCTTCAGTTTGGGAGCCAGATGCAGCCTTTCAACTTCTAACTCAGCATGCCTCTTACATTAGTATTCTGTAAGGATCCACCCCGTGGCCAGTTCCCTTCTTCCTATTTCCTTACTTAGAGATAACACAGCAGGAATCAAGCTGAGGCTGAGTGAAACAGCGTTGGCTTTGCACTTGGCTCTTGGAATCCTTTTCTGGAAGCTGACAGGCTGTTTAGATGATATTGGTTAGCTTTCATGCTCTGGCGTAATGAAGGAACTTTAAAAATGCCTTTTTGCCTCTTTGTTGAAAATGTTGCTGTTATCTGTGATTTGATTTCAAAACCCAGTGGAAGAGGGGAATAGGTCACTGTCTGCTATTTCCTGTTGCTTTTGGCGCCTGAAATCAGCCCAGGGACCTTTAAGCTCAGTGAGAACTGTAAGAAAGACTAAAATTGACTGACTGTGAAAGCACACAGAATTAACCAAAAATGTGATCTTGACTGATTTCCTTTTCACACAGCAGTAAGGGAAAACCCCTTGCCAGCTCCTTTTCCTCAACACAGTTAGGGGTTTTTGTCCAGCCCATTCCTCAACAAAGCGTTGCCCACAGAGCCATATTTTCTTTGTTGGAAGGAGAAATGGCTCAGTGGCTCTTGAGATCAGGACCTGGGCTGTGTAGAAGGTGACAGTGTGACATAAGTTCCCAATAGGCTTCTTTTGGATGGCCTGTAAAGACACTCTGGGTAGCTCCTCTCCCTTCAGTATTGAAAGCTGTGCAGGGTGATCCCACGGGATGTGCTCATTCCAAGTTTTCCCCAAATTGATTGGCTGCTGGGGTATGTGTGTGCATGTGCCTGTGCGTTTGTTTGTATGTGTGTGTTTTTTGTTTGAAAGCCACAGGGAGCCCCTGGGAGACAGTTTCATTGTTTCTGGGCCTCTTACAGTGTGGGAAAGACCTTAGCCTTTATACAGCTCTTCTTTGGGTATGAATGATAAACCATATGTGAATCATTTGTGATTCTGAATCACTGTCCTCTGGTTGGACTCCTGTCAGAGGCTTGTGTGTGTATGTGTGGGTGGTGGGTGCATATGCCAATATCAGGTGATTCCCATAATCACTCTTCACCTATTTGTTGTTGAGATGGGGTCTCTTACTGAACCTAGAGCTCATCAATCGGGCTAGCCAGGAGGCCAGCAAACCCCAGTGATTTTTTTGGTTTTTGCCTATCTAGTGCTGGGATTACAGGTGGTTTCCAGCACTCCTGGCTTTAATATGGGTGCTAGGAATTGAGCTTAGGTTTTCATGCTTGCACAGCAAACACTTAACGGACTGCGCCAGCTCCTGAGCCCCGCAGGAACTTTGCTGTTCCCGAAGCATGCTGTATTCTAGGAAAGGCTGAGGTGAGAGGTTGACTTGCTTGTATATGGGTGAGAGTGTGCAGGGATGATATTCTCAAATGCCACATGCCTGGCGCAGTGCAGCCTGGTGGGTTGCCTTCCTGCTCACACCCCAACCAAGCTAAACAACCTTCAGTCCTTCTCTGCCTAGAACAGGGAAGAATCTCAAGGATGCCAGTGAATCCTACAATGTCATTTCCTATTTTTAACTTACAGTGACTTACATGGAGTATTTGTTTCACAGTGCCAACCCATGTCTTGATTGCTGTTGTTTTTTTGTTCAGTGAAGATTGTGGGGGAGTGTAATTTATAATCACCAAACACCTTCTTTTTACCCTTTACACTCGTATTCAAGTACTAACAGTGTGATCAGCAATATTTTTTCCTGAAATGCCTCCTGCCCTGTAATTACCAAGGAAGAAAATCTACCATTCCATCTTCACTTAGGATTCCATGTGTCCTGTTCATCTGTGAGATACACTCTGAATTCCATCCTCCTTTCTTTCTTTCTTTCTTTCTTTCTTTCTTTCTTTCTTTCTTTCTTTCTTCTTTCTTTTCTTTCTTTCTTTCTTTCTTTCTTTCTTTCTTTCTTTCTTTCTTTCTTTCTTTGGTTTTTCGAGACAGGGTTTCTCTGTGTAGCTTTGGAACCTATCCTGGCACTCACTCTGGAGACCAGGCTAGCCTCGAACTCACAGAGATCCACCTGCCTCTGCCTCCCGAGTTCTGGGATTAAAGGCATGCGCCACCAATGCCCGGCTCTATCCTCTTTTCACTGAGGGCTTCTCCCTCACTCTCATGGGCTCTAGCCGTATAAAATTACTTGCAGCTCACTTCTAGCCATTTGTAGTCTTCTTTATATCTGAAAGTACTTATTCAAGATCTGATAAACTCCCATTGGTCTTTCAGGAACCAGCTTCTACAGGTGTCCACTTCTCCAGAACCCTTCCCTGGTGAACTCAGGCTGATCCTGTATCTATAGCTGCCCATAGAAACTAGACCCCAGCTTGAATGGTGGTTGGCTGTGGGCTTCTTAATAGACAGGGCTGCATCTTTGTCACAGTGACCTTCCAGGTTCCCAGTGTGGTACCCACTGGATGGGTGAGGATGGATGGGTAGCATTTTTGAATTTGTTACTTGGGAAATTGCTCATCTTATAAACAGTAAGAATTTCATATTCCCATTTGGTTTCTCAAGGTTTTACCACCATGTCTAAGACAATTGAATAACCAGAGAACTCGTAGGCTAGGGTATGACTCAGTGTTTCCGTCTAGATCTTGGAAGCCCTGAAGGCATTGCCCTTGACCATCTCGGCCGCAACATCTTCTGGACAGACTCTCAGCTAGATCGGATAGAAGTTGCAAGAATGGATGGCACACAGCGAAGAGTGCTGTTTGACACGGGTTTGGTGAACCCCAGAGGCATTGTGACAGACTCCGTAGGAGGGTATGTGTGCCTACTAAAATGTGTAAGTCTCTCTTTTGGTCTCTGGCTTGTTTTGGATGGTCTCAGAGGAGGTTCTAATGACAGCATTGCTCTCCTGAGATGTTTCATCCATGCAAGATGAAGCCGAGTCTACAAGCTGATGATATACAGGCATAATTACCACAAGGTGGACTTCATGCTATGTCCCAGTTTCACATTTTTGTCAAGAGACTTTGTATGGTGACAGCTCAGAAATCAAGTAATTTCTATATAGTGAATGTGAACTGATGCTCCAATTGCATGAACGCTGTGAAAATGTTGGGTTGGCCTAACCATGCCTCTGGCACTGCTTGTTGGTGTAGATGTGACTTGAGTATCCTGGAGTCCCCTTCTTGAGGGGCTCTTTAGCCCATTGCGGCTTTCTCTCTTTTCACCCGATGGCAAGCTCTCAGTGTTTCACCCCAGACCCCAGCTCCTAGATATTTTGATACTTTTCCCTTGGAGACAACAATCCCTTGTGCTATGGCCACTCAGCTACCTCACATATGGCAGACATCTCAATCACTACCTTGCTGGTATCTACATCCTGCTGTAGTCAAACCACATTGCTCCACTGTGGCCTCCTGCATAGGTTTATTATTCAGGGAATTACTGTTGGTTTGTGTCAGGTCCACAGTTTATGTGCACACATGTGTGTTTGGTAACAAAACTTGTATATCATTCTTCAGGTGGTGTCCACCTTTTGCACCCTGAGCAAGGTCTCTAACTAGCCTGTCCCTCCCCAAGTAGAGCAGGCTGGCTATCCAGAGAGACTCAGTGGCCCACCTGCCTCCTCCCCAGAACTGGGATACAAACCTCAGTCACTATGCTTGGCATTTTTTTTCTTCTGTGGTGCTGGGGATTGAATGCAGATCTTCACTTTACCCTCTAAGTGACCCCTCCCCTCCACAGGACCTCCAAATTTTCTTGATAGCTTTTCCAAGATACTATAAAGGAAATGGAATTTGCTAGTAACAGATAACCCAATTTGAATAAAGAGTCAAGGTAATCCTAGAAGAATCCATCTGAGCTTCTCAGAGTCTCACTTAGCTGTGTTGTTTTCCTGTCTCTTCCTCCCTGGTTCTCTAAAAATGTTTTCAGGATCTCACTTCCTCTTTCTCCACTGTTACCTCTTCAAGGAACCTTTATTGGACAGATTGGAACAGAGAAAATCCCAAAATTGAAACTTCTTACATGGATGGCACCAACCGGAGGATTCTCGCACAGGACAACTTGGGCCTGCCTAATGGCCTGACCTTTGATGCATTCTCGTCTCAGCTCTGCTGGGTGGATGCAGGTAACAGGAAGCTTGAGATCATGGAATATGGTTCTTCATTTTCTTACTCTTCTTGCTCTAGTGAGTTGGCAAATCTCATCCACTGCCCATTTGTGTATAGCGAACAAGCTCAGAATTGTTTTTTATATTGTTAAATGTTGCCATTTTAAGTGTTGTTATAAACACCTGGTACCATCCTTGGTTTTACCTTTTGGCCTGCAGAACCTGAAATAATTGCTATATGGCTCTATAAAAAAATGGCCGACTCTTATTTTGGTGGGAGGTTACTGAGCCCTGCTTGAACTTAGGATCCAGAGATAATATAGCATCCTGCATCCCTGATGTGGTCCTGCCTCGGCTGTGCAGTATGTCCCTCAGGCTTGAGATAAGATGTAAGAAAGATGCTTATCCAGGAGGCCCACCCTTCATCTCTCCTTGTGAAAGTTTGTGGTTGAGTACCTTCTCTGTCCCACAACTAACTAGGACAAAGAGTGCAGTGTGAATACTTACATGCTTATACAAGCCTATGACAGCCATTCTGCAGGTGTTAGTGGCAGGTTAGTCACAGCTGCTGATCTGTTGCAATTCTTCAGCACCCCAACTCTTGGTAGAAAGAGTCTGAAGAGGCTTAGAGGGGAGGTACTTGAGCAAAAGCCAGAAAATAGTGGGGTTCCTATTGAAACAAAGGGCTGGGAAAGCCAGGACAGGCTGTGGCTTCTCTACCCTAGCTTATGTCTCCTCACTAGGTCCAGGTGTGGGTGCTGGAACTCAGGAGGGTATAGGTTGATGAAAGGGAAAAGACAGGAAGTAGAAACAGAATGTCGGTGCTCAAGAACCAGCCCTCTGTGTTGCCCAGGACATGTCATTGCAATACTGAACTCCTCCTCCCTTGTCTTTCAGACTCTTGTTTTCTGACACAAAGGGTCCATTTCTTACATGAACAATGACCAACTTGTGTTTGCTGCACACAGGCACCCATAGAGCAGAATGCCTGAATCCGGCTCAGCCCAGCAGTCGCAAGGTTCTCGAAGGGCTCCAGTATCCTTTCGCTGTGACGAGTTATGGGAAGAATTTGTACTACACAGATTGGAAGACGTACGTAGGCTGCTGTCACGTGAGCTGGGCAGAACTGTGTCCTTCCCTTTGTCTGTGGAGGCCTTTGCATCTGGCCTCTTGTCCTAACCTTTGACCTCCAGTGATGCCTGCTTCTTACCCCCTCCTGGCTGTTAGTAGATATGGAAGAAGGTAGAGGAAGAGGGCTGGCAAATCTCAGAGAGGAGCAGAGGTGCTGAGAGCCTGGGACTTCCTGAGCATGTCCATTCGAAACCCAGGAACTGCCTGGGGTCAAGTGGCTGGTGGGCTCCATGATTATGTCATACTTCTACATCAGTGTTATTTTTAAATTGCAGTATTCCCATAGCTGCTTCTGGACCAGACCTTCTTACAAAGGGAGGGCCACACTGAGGTGGTCACCTATATGTCACCTAGAATTTACACAGAGGGGAGAGCTAGGTTATTTTGACCCTTATTGTGAAAAAGCAATGACTACAGGCTTGGCTCAGCCCAAGGGGAAGAAGGAATATAAAAAGAGCAAGATACCGTGTCTTTTTCTCTTCTAAGCCACAGAAGAGGCTGCCAAGCCCACTGAAAATAGTTCAAGCCAAAAGATGCATGTTCACTCTCTATGCTTTGGTGCTTTGCAGGAATTCAGTGATTGCCATGGACCTCGCTATATCCAAAGAGATGGATGCCTTCCACCCCCACAAGCAGACCCGGCTATATGGCATCACCATTGCCCTGTCCCAATGCCCTCAAGGTAACTAACTCAATCTTGCTGCTGAATGTGGGGTCAACACCCAGAGTCCCTAAGAGTATCATGGTGGCTTAACTACACCCCTGGCCTCCTTCCTGTAGAAAGCCCAGTTTGAGCATCCTGTATATCCCTGCCTGAAAGATTCCTCACTCCATCATTGCTTTCTCTGGTATCAGGGTAATGTCCCAAGGCTCAAAGCCTACAGGCTGCTGCTAGTAGCCACAGTGGATGAGGTGTGGTCACTTCTACCAAGAGTGTCCATTACTGAATGGGGAGCCCATAAATGAGAAGCATGAAGTGGCATGGATGTGATCATGAAACATCTTGAGTCTTGGGCTGAGTCTTGAAGTGAACAGTCTTCAGGTGCCAAAAAGGACTTCAACAGTGAGTTCACTGTTGAATCCCTGACATCTTTAAACATTCACCTATTTGGCCTAGTAAAAATGAAAATGACAAAAAAAAAATGGCAGAGCTGGAAAGATGGCTCAGCAAATAAAGTGTATGCCTTGCAGGCATAAGGACCTGAGTTCAATCCCCAGAACCCACATAAAAACAAGCTGGGCCTGGTGACATGTTATTACAACAATGGGGAGGCAAAGACAATCGGATCCTTGGGGCTCACTAGCTAGCTAGTCTAGCCTGCTGGAAAATTCCAGGCCAATGAGAGGATTGTCTCAACAGAAAAGAGACCATGCCAGCTGAGGTTGTCCTCTGACCTCCACATGCGCACACATGCATCTACAGATTCATGAATAAAGCTGCAAAGACACGAGGCTTTCTGTGGCCTCGGCATCTTATGTTTCGATTCACAGTTCTGAGTTGCTTCTGTTCATTAGTTCATTTAAGCTGCCTTGTGTGGTTATGCTGCTGTTCCCATATCGTATATGAGGAAATACAAACAGCGAGCTCAATCATGCAGTTACAGCAGCAGAGCAGCAGGTGGATCCTGGTAGCCTGGATCCAGAGTCTGTGTTGAGCTGTGTCTCCTCTCAAAGGCTACTTTCCCAAGCCATCTTCCTTCTTGCCTGCTCCCAGTCAGTGTGAGGCCATGGGTGTGTGAGATGGGAAATATCTGCTATTTTGTTTCAGCTCCATGTTGGAGCTGTGTGCTATGCTTTCTCTTTTTGGGCCACCAACAAGCTCCTAAATCATAACACGGAGACTTCTTATTAGTTATGAATTCTTGGCCTAGCTTAGGCTAGCTCTTTTAACTTAAAATTAACTTTTTTCTCTTTATCTACCTTTTGCCCTGGGGCCTTTACCTTTCGTCTTCCCTTCTTAGTTCTTACTTTCACGGCTTCTTGTGACTGGCTAGCTGGCTGGTGGCTGGCTGGCTGGCTTCTTGCCCCAGGCATGTCCCCCTCTTTTTCTTCGTTCTCTTCTTTTTCTATCTAGCCTAGATATTTCCTCCTATTTATTCTCCCTGCCTGTCAGCCCCTCCTGTCCTTTCTCTGACTACCTATTGGCCATTCAGGTCTTTATTAAACCAATCAGGTGCCTTAGGCAGACAAGGTGAAACAGCAACACACCATTTCATAATTAAACAATTGCAGCAGAAACAAATGTAACACACCTTGACACAGTTAAAGTAACATTCCCCAGCATAAACAAATGTAACACATCTTTACATAGTTCAATATTCCTCAGCAGAGTTGGGGAGCCCTCCCTTCCCCATGATCTGTGGAATACACTTTGCAAATCCAGCCCCCTGTGCTAGTTCCTTTTCTCCATGCTGTGACAAAATGCCTGACAAAAGCAACTTAAGGAAGAACAGGTTTATTGTGGCTCACAGTTTAAGGGTAGAGTCAACATGGTGTAGTGTAAGATGGCTGGTCACATCACACCTGAAGTCAGGAAACAAAGAGAGGAAGCTGGTGCTCAGCTTGCTTTCTAGTTTTTTATTCAGTTCAGGAACCCAGCCCATGGGTTCCCACATGGATGTTGCCCACACATAGGGTGGATTTTCTCACCTCAGTTAACTTATTCTAGAAACTCCAAGCAGACATAAGAAGAGGTGTACTTCTGTTGTGATTCTAAATTCCACCAGGCTGACAATCCACATTAACCGCAACACCTCCAAATCAGGACCTCATTTTCTAACCTGTCTTATGACGAAGAAACAAGCAACAACTTATCTTACTTGGCCCTGTGAACCTATAGGGAGGTTAACAGGGAGGCTGCTGTAGATATCAAATCAGCCAGAGAGGAGTCTATGACACTGATTTCCTTCTTTTCCAGGCCACAACTACTGCTCAGTGAATAATGGTGGCTGTACCCACCTCTGCTTGCCCACTCCAGGGAGCAGAACCTGCCGATGTCCTGACAACACCCTGGGAGTTGACTGCATTGAACGGAAATGATGAAAAGAATGCCTTGCTCCCTCTCCAAGTATTTCACAGCAACACTCTACTTGAAATGACTAAAAAAAAAAAAAAAAAAAAAAAAAAAAAAAAAACCTGACTGAAAATTATCCTGCAGTGGAGTGACCACTAGGCCCACGTCTAGCCTAGCCTGAGCCCCCACAACTTCCCCTCAACCTTCCCTGAAACAGTCACCCCGAGCTCAGTAATGGGCAAGTCTGTACCCCAACATGAGGGCAGGACCCCCACATACTTTCTGACCCCACTATTCAGACAAGATTATAGAGTTCTGAATAAAAAAGCCAATGTAGTGGTGCATGCCTGTAACCCTAGCACTTGGGAAGTGGAGGCGGGAAGATCAGAAGTTCAAGGTAATCTTGTCTATGTAGCAGGGTTCAAAGACAGTTTAGATTGCATGATACCCAGTCCCAAAAAGAAAAGAATTCAGGGTGAAAATTATGTGTTCATTCCAGAGCCATAGGACCTTTCCCTAATCTTAGACTCCTCCATGGTAAGCAGACCTCCGAAGACCTAATCACAATAATTCTCTGTGGTATCACAAGCTCATCTGTTACTGTGAGGTGCCTGAGAGCTTGCCAGTTTCTCAACATAGCATCCAGGTCCAGCTTAGGCAAGGTTATGAGTCATACTTTTTCTCTCAGTACTCTAATCTCTGTCTCCATGCTCCCACCTAACTACTCTCCTGCTCTGTACCACCTCCCCCTGTTTAAAACCCTGATTTTAGTGAGTATGATTTACCATGTGATCAAAGCCCAATTGTATCCTAGGAATTCACGGTATTTGGTGGATGGTAATAAGCAGCTCCTCCCAGATTATAAAATCCTGGTGTTTCAGCGGTGGCCATTTATAGTCAAGTGGGCAAGTCAAAGAAATGTCCTGTGAGAGGAATGTCAAGATGTAGAGTGAGGTTAGGGGATTATTATTTTGATGTGTCTTGAATTGTAGCAAATTCTTCCTCTTTGCCAAAGTACCTGTATTTACATCTAGTCTACGATGGCATGTGAGTCTTTAGCCCCACTGCTGGTACTGGTTTCCAAGTATTCTTATTGGCTAGTCATCTAAGGGCCCAGGCTAGGGTAGGGCTTGAGCAAAGTAGTGGCCCATCATAGTCCCTTAATTTTAGAATTGTATCTTTGTTTCCTCCTCTCTCTATGTTTTTTTCTGGCTAGATGTTCATCTGAAGACCCAACCTGGGAAGATCTAACTGGGTATTTCTACTAGTGGTTCAGACCCTTAATTGCTAACTGGTATAGTTCAAGGGATGTTGCTGCCTTCCAAGTATCTGTCTGTCATTTGTGTCAAAAATGTCCTCTGACCATTTGCATAACCACTATTCATTCTATCTATCTATCTATCTATCTATCTATCTATCTATCTATCTATCTCCTTTTTGAACTGCTTCCAAGACACTTAAAGCAATAGAAATTTTGGATTTAAAGTCAAACATCAGAAGTTCAGTTCAGCACAGTGTAGAGTAAGGGCATAGACAAGACTCAGTGGGAATATGGACGGAGAACAGGAATGGAAAACTGAAGAGGAAATTGTGGGGGAAGGGTTTAAAGGCAGCTAAAACTAAAACCCTTAAATAACTTCGGAGAAAAATGGCACATTTTGCAAAAGAATGCTAGTCCTTGAAGACATAGAAGACCTTGCCTGATGCTTCTCTTGGGGAACAGAGCCCCCTATCTCTTTTCCTTCTAGCTTCATCATACTCAGCCTCCAATCCCATCTCCTCTTACCTCCATCTCAACCTGCTTACATTGGACTGGGAACCTGAATTGGGAGGGAGTCTTTACTTAAACAATCAGAATTTATATCACAAGATTTAGGGGTCATGTGAATCTTCTGTGCAGCCTCATAAGGAGGCCTCAGTTGTTTTTTAGTCATTTTTATGAAGCCCACTCTCTCATGTTCCTCCCATCTTTTATAACTTTTATTCATTTTACTAGGTTCCTTCTAAAATGTTTTACATGATAAATTCTTCAACTGTGGAAACCACTGAAGGTGCTTATTAATGGTTCTCCAGATGTACACAAGTATTGGATGACTCCTTGAGTTTACAACTGTACAAATATTAGTACAGAAAATTAAAAAAAAACTGTTAAAAATAAAATCTTATTTTGTCTTGTTTTTGTTATTTTGTTCCATGATGACCGGGTGTTGCTATGTTGAGGCCTCCACTTGAGCTCAGACTCTCAGTCCTCCTGCCTCAGATCTTGAGAACTGGAATCAATGGTATATGTATGCTACCATAGTGTAACGTTGCAGTCAGTTTATGATGGGAAAACAGACCATTTAATAATTGGTAAAACCTAGGGGACCCATGACTCTTACATAGTGAACGGTTCATTAGTCACATGGTTCACAGAAGATAAAGGCTGATGAATGGCTTTAAAATTAATTATATCACAGACCCTAAATTAAATTACCCTTATGGACATTTTTTTGTTTCTTTTTGTCTGTTTATCTCCTCCCCACTCTTAACCCTTTTATAAGAATTCATATACCAGACTAGCCTTTAATTCTCAATGTATCTAAGAATGACTCTGAACTTCTGATCTTTCTGCCTCTATTTCTTGAGTGTTGCAAACACAAGCATGAAGCTAGTCAGTACTGCATAACAAGGCCCTGTCTCAAAACATCACAACAGCAAATAGATTGCTAATCAGATAAACTTAAAACTGGGCTAGAGTTCAGGATTATCTAGGTTTACTGTGAGCAGCAGACAAGAAAGATGAAAGAATCAAAGGAGATGGGATGGGGATGCAGAGAAGAGCTTGGGTGAGGTGGGGGGGGGGCTGGAGGGGCTGGAAGCGATTACAGCCAGTAACCTGGAGCCCCTGCCCTGTTGACTTGGGAACTTATTCCTCAGTTGCTGGTCACCTTCCTTCCTTCCTTCCTTCCTTTCTTCCTTCCCTCCCTCCTTTCTTTCGTTTCTTTGTTTGTTTTAAGACAAGGTCTCTTAGAGACCCGGAACTCATCACATGGGCTAGGCTGGCTGGCTGGCCAATGAGTCCCAAGGAGTCTCAAGCACTAGGATTACAAATGCTGCTACTATGTCACGCTTTTTCACTTGGATTCTGGCAATTGAACTCTGGTTCTCTTCCTTTGTTTTGTGTTGGGGATGTCAGCTTACTAAAATGTGTGAAGCCCTGGGTTTGATCCTTAGCTCTGAATAAAACTAAGAGCAGTGCTTGTACCTGTAACCCAAGCGCTTAGGAGGTAGAGGCAGAAGGATCAGAAGTTCAAAGCCATCCTTGCCTATACAGTGAGTTCAAGGTCAACCTAGGCTACATGAGGCCCAGATGCTTGGGATCCATCCTCTGGGTTTTTGTTTGTTTGTTTTGCTAATTCATTTTTAAAACATCCTATGGTTTTGCGCATGCCAGGTAGCCACGCTACCAACCGAGTTACACCCTGGCCCTGCATCCATTCTTTTAGAGGCTATTTGAACAAACCCATCTGAAGAGCACAGTTCTGAAGAGCAGGTTAGGATCCTTCAGCTGCCAAAGTATCTCTGTCCATTTTCTCTTTTACCAGGATGTGGAGCCCAAAGTCTACAATCAAAATCTTAGAAGCCCCAGCAAGAGAGCAGGACTCCTACACATGGTCCTTGTGGTCCTTAGTAAGATGGCACAGAAATCAAGCCATTGGAAGGGCCAGAAAGGTCGAGTACTCTGAGAATGGCTTCCTGGTCACTTGGCTCTCAGGTAGGCACTGGTGAGCTTAGAGGTTCACCCAGCCTGCCTTCAACCTAGCCACTCAGCTTAAATCACTGGTTTTCAAACTATGTGCCGTGGCCCCTTAGGGGTCTCATATCAGATATTTACATTATGATTTATAACAGTAGCAAAATTACAGTTATGAAGTAGCAACAAAGAAATTTTATGGTTGGGAGTCATCACAGCCTGAGGAATTGTATGAAAAAGTGGAAGCATTAAGAAGGTTGAGAACCCACTGGTTCTAGCTGGTTTGCCAAGGCAGTTCCAAGTAGAACCACAAGAGGGCGTCCAGAGCCGCTGAATGAATGAGGCATCTCCTGATCTTAATTCCTGTTAATCGACCTCCCAAAGGACAAACGGGTAAACAAACATCAAGGTGGAGTTGTTTTGAAGCTACTTCATGCCTCACAGTGGAGGTTTAACTCCAGAATAAGTTTAGGAAGGATTCAAACCACAACAGGTACAAAAGGGTCTGAGGCTTTCTCAAAGTGGATCTCCCACCCCCATGGGAAATCACCTTTAACTGTGAACAAGAATTTGAACGGAGTTTTCTAGAGATAAAATGGCTTAGCTTGTATGAGTACAGGAGCCTTGGAGTACTGGTACTAGATACCCACATTAGTAACTTGTAAATACAACCTGTCCTTCAAAGCCAGAAAGAAAAATGGATTATAGGTCCTGAGTGTACCAGAGAGTGCACTTGGGTGTCATTTATTTTCTTGTGGTATTAGGGATTGAACCTGAGGCCTTGTGCATGCTAGACAAGCACTCTACCATTGAGCTACATTCCTACCTCAGGGTCTTGATGTTCTTAGTATTAGATAGGACCATCGTTTGATGGTACACTAGTGGGGAGGGGGTTTTATAAAGACTGTTCCGGTCTTAGAAACCTCTAATGTTCTTCTGGTTGCTTTTATCGAACAAAATGAAGAAACTTTATCTTTTGTTGGGACCACCTAGGCCCTTCTCCCAGCCTGTTTCCTCTTTTGTGATCAATAGGATAGTAGCTTCCAGCTGTTGGACAGTTCAGATTTCTTTATGAAAATGAGGTCAAAAGAGTTGCACTGCATCCCCTGGAGCAGGGCCTTGCATCCCAGGGACACTGCATTCTCTGGGGCAGAGCACTATATCCCCTGGGGCACTGCATCCCCTGGGGCAGGGCACTGCAGTGAGGAGGTAGGAAGACACTGGAAGGATGTGTATGCCCACCCAAAGCCAGAGATTTCTGGAGCACGGTGTGGTTAGTCTTTACAAATTTGTATGAATCTTGGGTTCCACTCCATATAGAAATTAAGTTAGTAATTAATTATAGTAATTAATAAGATTTCATGTAGCCCAGTCGAGCCTGGAACTCCCTGTTTAGTTGAGGATGACCTTGAACTCTTGATCCTCCTGTTTCCACCTCCCAAGTGCTGGGATTATAGGTGTGTGTCAACAGACCAGCTTCATAATATATTAAATGTAAAATATCATTTTTAAGATTTAATTTTAATTGTGTATGTGTTTGTATCTGTGCACAAGTATGTAGTGTTCACAGAGGCCAGAAGAGGGTGTCAGATCCCCTGGAGCTGGAGTTACAGAAGGTTGTGAACCTACCAACATCGGTGCTGGGAACTAGATTCTCATCCTCCAGAAGAGCCCTAAGCTCATTTAACCACCGAGCCATCCATCTCTCCCACTCATAAAATTCCATTTTAACTCCTTAACATCTGCTGTAGGTTGAATTGTGACCGTCCAAAAAGATAAGTGTGGTCCTAACCCCAGTACTTCAGAATGTGATATTTAGAAATAAAGTCTTTGCAGATATAGTCAGATGAAGATGAACTTGTAGGGTGGACCTTAACCAAATCAGACCCAGGTTTTTATTAAAAGGAGGAAGTGGACTCAAAAGATAGTACACACATAGAAAACTCCACGAGAGAGGAAGACAGATGGGAGACGTAGATAGAAGGTTAGGAAACCCAGAGATGTCTGCAGCCTGGGACACATGTCCCTCACATCCTCCAAAGGAATTAACCCCAAAACATCTCTCTTAGGAATAATGCAGCCTGGACTGGGATGGCAGGTGATGGGTCCCCTGTCCAGTCCCATGCTGGGACCACAAGAATCGTGGTCCCAGGGCGGTGATGGACGGCGGGGGGATGAGGAAACAGAGACCTGTAGATGTAACTCATATTGAAAGTTTTATTGAGTGGGAGGTAAGACGATAAGGTAAAGAGATGCAGAGACAGGGGGAGGGCAGAAGAGACGAGGGAGACAGGAAGAGTCCTGTCTGCCCCAGGGAACAGTGGGAAAGAAAGAGGGGGAAAAAACTTATGTAGGCCAAAGTCTTTCTTTTAAAGCGGTCCTTTGCACCGCGTACAGACTATACAACCATAGAACCCTGGGCTGACCAGGGTACTGTCTGAGTGCATTCTGCCAGGTGACAGGGGCAGGTTAAAATCTCAACCTTGAACCAAAAAACGGGAAATACTGCTGTTGTTTAAGTCACCCAGTTGTGGTGCTTTGTTACAGCACCTTCAGCAGACTAAAACACCAGCAAAAACACTGAATCGTAAGGGAAATACACTGACTTTATCCATTGCTGCCTACTGTCACCCCAGTTGATGCCCATCTAGAGAGAGCACAGTTGGTGTGCATAGATGCTCGAGAGGTTGACGAGAAAATAATATGTGATAGTCAGCTGTTGCTAATTAGTGGAAGGTGGGCCAAGGAGATGGCTCAGTTGATAAAGTAGGCGAGAGCACCTGAGCCTGATTCTCAGCACTCACTAGAAAAGTCAGTGTGAGCAGTGTAGTGATGGTGCACGCCTTTAATCACAACACTCAGGAGGCAGAGGGAGGTGGATCTCTGTGAGTTTGAGGCTAGCCTGGTCTACAGAGCGGGTTCCAGGACAGGCGGGGCTACACAGAGAAACCCTGTCTAAGAAAACAAACAAAGCCAGAGGTAGAGATAGGCTGACTAGCCAACCTAGCCTACTTGGCAAGTTCAAGGTCAGTGAGAAATCTTGCCTCAAAGAACCTGATGAAGTACACCTGGGGTTGACTTCTAGCGTGCTTTGTCTCTGTCTCTGTCTCTGTCTCTGTCTCTGTCTCTCTCTCTCTCTCTCTCTCTCTCTCTCACACACACACACACACACACACACACACACACACACACAGGAAAGGCAAAGAATCCTCTGGGAAACAGGGATGTCAGCTGAGTCAGGAAGACAACTAACTTAAACTATTTCTGGGGTCTGCAGAAAAGTCTTCCTGCCGCAATCATCTTACAGGTGTTGGAAGCACAGATAATCACCTCTGTAACTACTCCAAGTAAACTGGGTCAAAGTGCAAGGTGTTTCAGCTATAATTTGGGAAGGTGAATTTGGAAGAAGGTATTTCCTTCTATTTAAGGTGGATATTGATC